GGTCTTTTACTCCCCACTTCCCCTGCTAAAGTGGGATAAAAGGGGGATAAAAAAGAAGAGAGGTCCTGGATATCTTATCCATCTGCCAGGGAACTATGTTTTAAAATGGTAGTGCAGGGTGAACTGTGATGAAGCCTACTAGGTGGTGGCAAAACTTTTCTTGATACGAAGCCTGATTTTCTTACCAGTTCTAAAAGTTATGTCCTTTCAGATTGCACCATCAGAAGCAAACAGGTGTTAAATTGGCATGATTTTCTCGGTCTTCTACCTGTTGATACTAGATGTGATAAGCTCATAATATTTTTCTTTATAAAATATGTTTATAGTTATGTCAATATAATCAAAAAATAGATTCTCTAGAATCCCCGAGAATCCTACTAACTATTCTGACCCTAACTTCTTTCTATTCTAATGTTTTTGCTTGCATCCATTCTAAGCTAATGTAGCTCTTCCCATTTATCTTATGCTCAAATTTGTTGCTTGCCATCAAGGACCCTCTGTCACTATACTGGGAGGAATTCGAAATCATGTTTGTTTGGTTCGTTTTTGGTGCAGCCCAGGACAGAAGAGAGATGTTGGAAGAGATCATGCGTAGAGGAACGAGCTCACTTGGAACAGATGTGCCAAGCGAGAGAGAAATTAACCGCCTTGCAGCCCGTTCTGATGAGGAATTCTGGCTGTTTGAGAAGATGGACGAGGAGAGAAGACAAAGAGAGAATTATAGATCTCGTCTCATGGAAGAGCATGAGGTACCAGAATGGGCATATACGGCACCTGCTAACCCGGAAGACAAGGCTAAAGGTTCCGAATATGACAGTGGCAGTATCTTGGGAAAGCGGAGGAGAAAAGAAGTAGTTTATAGTGATTCATTAAGTGATATACAGTGGATGAAGGCAGTGGAAAATGGAGAAGACTTGTCTAAGTTTTCAATTAAAGGAAAAAGAAGGGACCATCTATCATATGAGGCCCATGAATCACCCAATAACGATGCAGGAGTGGGAAGAAAGGTAGTGGCTAGTAATAATTCAGGACTAGAGAAAAAGGTTATTGAATTAGGTAATGAGAATGTTCCAGCTGCAAGTGAAGGAACCAGTGATGATACCTTCTCTTCTGTCCCGAAGAGACTTAAGTCTGGTGGGGAAACAGTTGAAAGATCTGAAAAGCAAGGTATTGAAAAATTTGAACATCAGAATGAAGGAGGAAATGATTGGAACAGAAATATTTTTACATGGAATACCCACAGAAAGAAAAGGTCAAGCTATGTCATCCAGAGTTCATCTTCTGATTCTAGAGGGCAGAATTCTAATGGAAGGGGGGCAGGTAACGGATGGATTTGATGGAAAATGATGTTACAAAAACGTTGATGGAAATAATTGAAGAAAATGAATTTTAAAGTAAATGCTCTGTGCCATATTTTAAGGAAATTGAGGGATGGGGTTGAAGGCTGTGTGACCATTGTTCTTGCTAGACTGCTGGCTGATTCATTTTGTAAGTGACTCTTTAAACTGGTGCATCACAGCTTTTGCTCATTCCACCTCTCCCATTCATTTTGGTAAGAAAAATTTAAGGTGTTGTGTTATTATCAGAAGCAGTGTAATATTATTTAATCTATAGAATGAAATGCAGTTCTCTTTTCCATGTCTAAGATTATTTCACCTGCTTATCTTTGTCTGGGCACCATTTGATTCATCACGAAGATAGCTTGAAGTTCAGATAGAAGGCTATCAATGTCATGTGAGAAAGGAAATCTGCCCACCCACCAATATATATATATATGTGTGTGTGTGTGTGTAAACATTTTTTAGGAATTTGCTCACTAATATATGCAACCCAAAAAAATATTATTTAACAAAAACATGACTCCACCATTTTGGATCAATTGATTCCAGGCATTGCACATTCTTCACTAAAGAAGCTAGAGTTCTTTAGATAAAACTTTAGAAAGACCAAGGGAGAAAAAGATAGAAGGAGCAAAGAACAAGAGAAAGAAGGGAATTTGATTAGGTAGCGTGATGTTATTGAATGGGAGAAAGTAATTTACTAATGTAATGGACTTGTATACACCCACTAGCTAAACTTTGAAATCATTTTTTAATTTATTAATATTGTCTATCCACTACATATAGTTTTATAAATCTCTTAAATTTTTCTTGAATAAAAAGTTTATATATTGGCTACTCAAATAATATACAAAAATCAATCATAATATATTTAAAAATAATCACATATGAGAATATAATTTGACTTAATTTAAATAATTAGTGATTAGTAAAAATCTCTTAAATTAACTATGGATGTTTAAAGAAAAAATTATCTGTAATTATTTTTTTTAAAAAAACTCATATTATCTGTATATATTTTTAACAAGAAGAATGGAATATTAACTTTCTACGTGAAGATAAAAAAAATAATATTAATGGTTTGAATTTTTACTTAGTAATCATCATACTTTGTGTAAACCTAATAAAAAAACCCAAAAGTCTTGAACTACCTATTTTGGAAAATTAAATATTGATTCTCACGTGTACATTTTCTATGTTCTACTTTTAGCTTCATAAGATTGCACATAGGCCTTGTGCGTTATCCCGGTTTTTCATGAAATATTTTAGATATAAGCTCATTTCTTTAAACATTCATGTTCATATAGGTGAAGTTATCAAAGATGTCTATATAACTCTAGCATTCCACTCAAAAATAACTACAACCTTTCATTAAAAAGATGAAATACTCTACTCAACCTCGTGTAGTGCAGAATCCATGCACTATATCACAAGGATAGATCACCGAATTTGCCTGTTATTCAAATCACTGTGATTTATTTTTCTTTAGTACTATATCTTCGTAGCTGATTTTTGTTTTTTATTCAATAAGTTATTGCTATTGTCCTCAGTGTCATTGAGATCTTTTATCTAGCTAAAAATTAAATTAAGGGTCCATATGAATATTATTATTCTTAATGTTTGCAACATTTAAGGATTTGTTTTGTAAGTAAGATCTTATATTGCCATATTTGTTTGTCTAATAATAACGTAATAAACCCTGTTCCTTCACTAGCTAAAGGCTTGAACAATACATTCAGCCTTTAGTGTGGATTTAACTATAGCTCATTGTATTCTAGTTTCCGGTATACTCCACTAACCAAAATGAATACCCAACTAGCAGAAGAAAAAAGAATCACCTGATAAGGTGTCCCAACCATGTACCTGTAACTTCTTCAACATACAAGGTAAGAAATATGGAAAAGAACTATCTAAGGGCTTCATACTTCTGGACAAGAAAAATGCAAATCCAAGAAAAATCATACTACCATTCATTACTACCATTGACGCGGACCAGAAAGATACAAAGTATTCATATTAGCTCCGCTGAGTATTGTACAGTCTCATGCAAGATACCATCTTTGGCAAATATGAAAATAATCTACTACATGACTTGCCATATTGCCAGGAGCTTATAAGAAAATGAGAAAGGTAAAGAAATTGACCTCTAAACTGATCTAATAATTTAAGATCTGAAGTAACCGCCACTTCCCTGCTCATGCATGGTAATATTCCAGAGCAGTCAATCCAAAATGTTGTTATAACTGTCTCCTGATTCCTACATTAATGCCCGCAAATGGACACAGATTATGAGAAAAAAAAAAATCTGACATCATCCCCGACTAAGGGATTTTTTTGTACCAACATAAAGTTTATTCCTCTCTATTAACTTCAAGATTCTTCATTCTAGACTCCAACTCATCGTCATTAGCATCATCCTCTCCAGATTCTTCCTCAAGATTTCCTTCAGGATCATTATCTTCCAATGACCCAAGCATTTCAGGGAAATTCTTAAATATTTCCTTCAGCTCATCAATTCCATCCTCAGAAATGATATTACCATTGATGTTCAAATTTTTGAACCCTTGTTTTTGAACAACAATCTGAGCAAAAATCCGAGCCCCAGCCCTTCTTATGAAGTTGGAGCTCATATCAACTTCCTTTAACTCCATATGGCCTTCTTCCAAAGCCTTTGCAATCTGGATAGCACCTTCATCCTTGAGCTCATTTTCAGCCAAGTTCAACTTGGTAAGATGCTGCTTTACTCCTATGCAAGCAGCTATAGAAGGAGCAGCTTCAGCTGTTATATCATTTCCTGCCATCTCAAAAACTTGAAGTGCCGGTGCTGATTCCTTCAGAGCCTTAGCTATGGCAATTGCACCTTCATCCTCCAAGTTGAGATAGCTCAGGTAAACCTCAGTCAGATCTGCATGCTTAGAAAGAGCTTTACTAAGCCCAATTCCAGCTTCTAAACCAAACATGTTATCTCGCAGGTCAAGTGTTTTCAAATGAGTACAAGTCTCAAGTGCTTCTGATAAGGCAATTCCTCCATCTGAGGCTATCCTTGTAGAGGAGCATCGGAAGTTCTCCAATAAGGGTGAATGCTTCACAACCTCAGATATAGAAAGTGCCCCCTCGTCTCCTGTCATGTTGTTATGAAATTGAAGGACCTTAAGCTTCTCTGTGGAAGGAAGCAACTCACACACTGCTCGTGCAGCTTCCTCGGAAATGCCATCATTCATTAGATAGAGCTCCTCCAGGAGAGACTGTGATTTAAAGAGTGCCTCAAAAGCTCTGACACCCTTTTCTCCCAAGGCATTATTTGAGAGGTTAAGTGACTTCAGGATACTACCTTCCAGAGCAGCTGAAAATATATTCATAACTTCAAGAGCTTCTGCTTCTGGTCTCCCAGCGATAAAATCTGATAAGTCAACTTCTTTCAATTGACTCTTAAGGGAAGCCAAAATGGGCTCAGCAACATGAGCAGCTCCTAAACCAAAGCTTCGATTACTAAAGCATATCTTAGTGTAACAATTTCCAGGCTCCTTCAATGGCCTAAGAATATCCTCAGCCTCCTCTGCCTCAATAAAGGCCCTTTGGCCTTTAGATATATCAAAAAAGGTTTCCTGGGAAGCCGCTTCTTTCTCAGATGTCAGTCCCTTTCTGCTATCCTTGGTTGCTGCTCCACTCTTGAGGACTTCTAACATAAGTTTACTGCATTCTTTTGCATAAAGTTGTATTGCAGAACCTCCATCACCATCAGGCTCCCTTTCATAGTGTGTATCAGCAGTAGAAAAAGCTACATCTTCAATCCTTTTTGCATTCTCTTCAGCATCTTCCTTGGTCAAGCAACCATACTTCTGTGTGAAAATGGATTCAGAAGTGAGGTTGTTCGTCATTCGTTCTACAAGCATCAGTCGTGTGTTTTGGCTCGGGGGCCATAGTTTAATTGAAAATGGTTGGCGCTGTGAATTCAGCATTACAGAGTTCATTGCAACAATCTGCAGATGTTGAGCTTATATTAATAAAAATGTACTGAGAGAATCATGGAACAGAAAATTAATTATACAGCAACGAAAGAAAGCACGCATAAAATCTCCTTCCTCCAAACAGAAAGTCCAAGAAAAAAGAAACATAACATTAACCAGGACCCTCCTCGAAATCCTACAATGTCTAGAAAAACCGCAACCTCCAGAGTATTTTATTCATTTGCTAATTCCATGAGAAAAGATGACCAGCACACAAAGGACGCTAGCTGCATACTTGTGAAACCAGCAATTTTTAAGCCAACCTTGGAAAATGCTTGACAATGATAATTGTTCTCAGGTCCTAAGGTGCACATAGTAAGTCCCGAACCCAACCTAGAGTCACAAAGGAAGTAATAAAAAACTCAACTTCTAATGTATCTTACGAGTGGCGATTCTGCAAAAAGATACTAAATCAAGCACTGAAAGGAAGTTCTCTTTTAGTTTTTGATAACGGATATAACAGAGCAAATTTGAAGATATTGGAGCATTTATGCAGCTTCAACTGTCCCTCTAAAATTCTCCTGAAAAAAAAGAAAGAAAAAACTGCCCTTCTAAAATAAGTTATTACAATAAAAAGTTAACATAAACCTACGGAAATACATTTCGTTACATTTATGCTCTGTTTGCTCTGTTCCACTGGTCCGATAGAAGGAAAAAAATAATAACCCCCTTAATAGAGAAAAAAAAAAGGAACAAAAACTATCCAGGTGAAATTTAATTCTAAATTACTCAGATGGGATGGTTAACAGTTTACCTGCTGGAAAATAAAAAATATTTAAAATATATACAGGAACATAGTAAAGGATTATCTGAACAGAAATAAGCTCTTTAAAGCTATTATATAGCCTTTGCAAATTTCGTTTGGCAAATGGGTTTCAAAGAAGAAAAGGAAGATGCAGTCTTTCCCCTGAATTGGGAAAGATTTTAAGAAGGTGAAGCTTCTCTTTTTCACAAATGTCTGGAAGTTATTCCCTTTGCTATCCCCCTCCGATATGAAGGGACTCCAACATAATCACTTTATCATCTGTCTATACCAAAAAAAAAGTGAATCGACAAAAAACCCCAATAGCCTCATCAACTATTTGCATCGTAATGTAATCAACAAAAGAAAAAGGAGAGAAAAAGGAAAAAAAAAAAACACTCAAGTAAAAAGACATTAAAGTGAAAAAGATCGTAGCGGTACCACTAATAGAACCTAATAAGACACAAGCTAATGAAAGATTTTTTCTTTTTGGCATCATAAACACGTTAACCAACAAAGCAAAACCCTAGTCACTATCTTAATCGCTGCAAAAGGTTCGCATTTCGGCATAAAACATTACAGATCTATCATTTAGGAAGTTCAACCAAATAGATAAACAGGGAAAAGCACCGCGACTAACCCTTAAAAACGAAAAACGAGAAACAAACTTTGAATAAAGAACTGAAGCAAATCAGATAAGAAGAAAAAAACCAATACCTTTTGTCTTCTTCTCCTCTCTGAATCTCTTAATCCAGATGAAAGAGCAGACTAAGGAGGAAGAGTGA